TGACCTCCTGAGGTCCCTTCCAACCCTTTCTATGATATTTGTATGTTCTCATTTCACTCTATTACCTATCACTTCTTTCCACACATTTGCAATCTGTATTTCTGTCAAATCCCCAACTATTTTTATCTCTTGGGGTTTTTTTTAAATATTACTCAACTCATTACAGTCTTTCAAACACTCTATTCCCACTCCCTCAAGTTTGCTTACCCTTACAAAGCTCTGCATCTTCGCATAGTGGGCCAGTGCCTGCCATGCCCACCGTTTTTTCAGTTTTCCCCCATACATGTCCCCATCTTAATATTCTTCCAGCCAGGTAACAGCAGAAACATACATTATAGGTATGTTCTGTAAAGAGATACTGGAGTGTTGGGGAGGATTGTAAGTATACACAAAGCTTCAGATTCCGATCTGCCCAACTGGCTAGCCTGTCTAGGTCCATGTCACAGGGCACTAAGGTGCCTGCTCCTTTAAGGGCAGAAACTGCCTAGAGAGAGGGCCCTAGCAGTAAGGCAGAAACCCCACAGGTGCAGGTTACTGTGGCAGCAAGCTAAGACTGGAAGAAGGCAGGGCCCTGGGCACATATAAAGCCCAGGACTGGGACTAGAGGGTTAGTTCTCTGGCAGTAGCCAAGGGAGAAGAAGCTCTCATAGAGGAATCTACTTGGAGATGCTTGACTGCCTGTTCTACTTCTGGTAGGATTAAAGGGCTATAGGAGCTCAAAAGTACTGGTTAGGGGGAGGCCCAGTAAATTGAAGGAGAAGCTTGCCTTCTAAAAGAGGATAGTGTGTGGACCCTATGTTATTGTTGTGTTGTAGCCTGGGGGCTTGTGCTTTCTGTTGTTTAAACTGGTGGACCAGACTGAGGCTACTGGGGAGAAGGAGGCCTCGCTGGGGCACAGTACAGTGAGCAGACCCCAGCACCAGAAAGGGCGCAGTGGCAAGGGGGTGAGCAGACCACAGCACCAGAGGGCACAGTTACTGAGGCCAGACTAAGCTGAGGCCTCAACACAAGACGACAACATCTACATACCATCTGCGAGGCATGGGGCATGATAAAGGGGCAGTTTAGGAGTCATGCATCTAGCCCATAAGGCTTGGGGATATTGTAAGGTACCTCCTGAGTGTGGGACCCAATAAAGGGGTCCAGCAACTCACAGGATTTAGAGGAGTCTCGTAGGACTGTGATCAACAGCAACTCAAGGGCAGCCTCCCAATTCATCATTTATATCAGCAAGATGTGGCAGGAAAGGTTAGTAGGTGCCCGTAGAGCAGAGCTGGCATGGTCACAATGCCCTAGGGACATCACGGCCATCCCAGGGGTGGCTGTATCGTGACTGTCTGCCTGTAACTGTAGCCTATATTCAAGTGTGACCATGCTCCCCCATAACCTGGTGTTCTCCATGAACTTGGCCAGTGGGCTCTTCACCCCCACATCCAAATTGTTAATAAAGATATTGAGAAGTACTGGACCGAGCACCAACCACTGTGGGACACCGCTGCCCACTTCTTGCCAGGATGGCACAGATCCATTCACTATGACTCTCTGGGTTCTATCCTGCAGCCAGTTTCTCACCCACCTGACTGTCTCAGAGTTCTGCCTCTGTACCCTCCTTATCTGTTGCCATGACAGCAGATACACCTCTCCTGTGCAAAGGATGATCACAGCCACTTTACCCTTGAAAAATAATGTTCTACCACTACAGGATCCCAATATCTGTCTCACACTTATATCTAACTTCTCCTACACTTTTGTTCCTTTCCCTTTGGCATCCATCCTCACCTACTTCGCCACCCTCCATTATTTCCCATTAAATATGTCTCTACTATATCAGACATTGCCAACAATGTTCACAGAATTCCACCAGAAGTCTGCCTCTTCCCAGTGCCTTCCCTCTCTTGCAAGATTTTAAACAGTCCTCCACCTCTTTCATACTTAACTTTTCTTTCAATTTTTGTTTCCTTCCATCTTCTATTACTTCCTTTATTCCCTTAAGGAACACCTTCATTTTTCCACCATCCACTCCCTTTTTTGTACAGCTCTTTATTTTCTTCCCTCCATCCCTTCTCCTATCTCACTCAATAATGCAACTGAAATTGTGCACCAGAATTTGCTGCCTACTTCTGCCTACATGCACCTCTAATTTCTTAAACAGGGCAATCCTTCCTTTTTTTCCAACTGGTGCATATATATTATAAATCTCTAACACTTTCTTTTCAAACTCTACCACCACCCATTGAACCACCCTTCTGCAACCACTTGCAATAGTTGCACTTCTATGTTCTCATTCTTGAGCAAAATCTATTATATTACAAAACATATTATATCTACTTTTAACCCACTCAATATTGGCATAATCTCACCCCACCTCTTCCTCAATAACACACTTCTGACATTTAGGGGTGCATCCCCATGAGCAAGAATGTTTCCCTGGGGACAAGTAGCAGAGGCACACCTTGTTCCATGGTGTGTGGCAAGTTACCCTGGGTGGGATAGGGGAGGCTGGGACCAGCAACTGTGCTGGCCCCAGCAGCCTTACCTGGGGTCCTGGAGTCTCTGGGAGCTCCAGCCATGGAACTCCTACAGCATGGAGCCTAGCCGGCATCCAGAGTGTGGTTCTAGCTGGCCAGGCTCCAGTTTTGGGTGGCATGGAGTTTTTTGACCCTGAGATCTCCAGGGTAAACCCCCGCCACTGTGCTGCAAAGTAATAGTATGAGGGATTCCTGCATGTACAGCCTGTGTGGCAGGCGACACTGCAGATGGGTCTGCGTGCCACATATCACATGTCCACGCTTTTCTGGACACACCCTTATAGATGCAATACACAAAGTCATGCGTCTCCATTTAAATTTCATATCCCTACCACTTTACAAATCTTCTATGCTGCTGCATGATGCTGGGGGCAGAGGGATGCCAGATATCCACCTGTTCCTGCAGGCACAATACACGAGTCAGATCTGTAAGCCGGTGACCTGGCCAGCAACCAAAACAGCCTGTCTTGTCAAGTATTTTACAGGTCACCTCCTGAGACCATGTGGGGTGTACGCACCAGCCAAAGGGAGACCGTGCACCATGGAATACCCCTGGTTCTACAGTGTGCTGAACGAGTTCCAGAGCAAGTATGGGCTATAGAAGGAAAGCCCAGAGACCATGTCTAGCCACAGCAAGATACAAAAGACAGTCAGAAACAGAGACATGGAGCTGCTCCTTGATGATGAGTGCCAGGCCATCTGGGACGGATCTTCCACAAAGATCTATGAAAAGACCACAGAGACTTGAATTGGCTCATAGTTTACTGCATACTCCCAGTGAAGGCATAGAGACATAAAATGAGGTGAGAGACTAAACCCAGCTGCCCCAGGGGAAGCTGCCAAGGTGAGAATGAGACCATTGACCACTTCCTTTGGCTCTGCCCCTATGCCAAAAGAGCGTGAAAAAAAGGTAAGCAGGCTCCTTGAGGAAGCGACAGAAGTCAGGCTAATGACAAGGGAGGCGGCGCTGTATGGACACCTGTCTAAACATCAGGGGTCCCTGATAACCTGCTTTGACCAGTTTGTGTCCTGAGTCAGCAGTGTCCTGTAGCAATGCAGGAACCTACTGATATACAGTCACACTGAGCTCAAGCAAACAGACTACGTTAAAATGTTTCTGAGCGAATTCAAGTCCTACTACCGAAAAGTGGTGGGAGAGGATGGAAAGGATGCAGTCAACTCAACCTGGAAAAGAGACACTTGGCACAGGCTGTTCAAAGCCTCCCCAGGAAGGGAAGTGGACAAGGAGAAAGAAAAAGACAGTGATGCAACTGGACCTGGAGACAGCGACAAGGACAGCAGCAGGATCAGCAGCAGCAGAAGTGACAGCGACATTGACAGTGACAAAGACTGTGAATGAACTGAGAGTGTAAACTTCAAATTGGGGCCTGGAATAAGGGACTGCTTTTGGGCTAGGGAAGGGAAGGGGGTGGGAGTGCGGGGGCACAGGGGAAAGGGTGCGTTTACTGTAACGGGTGCACCTGTTTTTTAATGTGGTTTGAGAGGTGTGATGGAAAGCTTATGATAGGATTTTTATATATAACTTTATAATAGATATATATTATTTAAAAAAAAGGTCTGTCCTTTATTTGCTGGGTAGGCTGGCCCCTGTGAGTTTCCCCAAATACAGAAAACTCAACTATACAATTTTGTGGTAATGGAAAACTATGCTCTGACTTTCCCCCTGGCTTGCTCCTTGGTCTTTTGACTAGGAGCAAACAAGACTAGGGGGCAACCAAACCCCAAGGCCTTTGAGCCTGGGATTTGTACATAGGATGTCTGTCATGGATTTGAAGCATCTGAAGCCCCAGACTGATGGGTCTGAGAGGGAGGAGACGTGCAGTACAGCCACACACGCTTGATGACTGAGTTCTGCTCGGTTGTAAGTTGGAACTCGGCTACTGGGCTTTGCCTAATTGAACCTGAAACTGATTTGGCCCTTGAAATAAAATATCACACACACACTAGATATAAGTAGGTGCCAAAGTGCTGTTCAACAGTGTGTTTATGAAACACCTGTACTAAAACATGCAACCGTTTAAAAAAAAAAAAAAAAAAAAGGAAATATGCACAAATTATGAATGAATTAAGTTTATAGGTACTATATGCAAATTCCTACCAAGTTTAATTTCAAGTTTGCTGTTTTTTAATTTGCTCCTCACTTCCACATGCTCAGGGAAAGCAGGGTCTGACAGTAGAGGGAGGGGGTAGGGACTGCCAGGGGAAAAAGCTGGGTGGAAGCAAAGAGCAAAGAGATATCTGATCCCCCAGATATTCCCTGCTGTAGCAGCAGAAGGGAGACCAATTCAAAATGAACCTCCAGTAATTAGATTCTATACTTGGATAATTATAACAAATTTATACATTTTCCAGATATAGAATCTAATTATTTGGGAGTTGTCAGGGTTATCTTCTATTCGAGTAAATATGATATCTATAGAGTTAGGTAAAACATAAAAGGATATTCCATACCTTTACATCATCAATACTTAAAAGTATTCTTTCCTTTTCCACACCACTGGATACTTGCAGATCTGAATTCAGGTTTGAGAATCTAATGCCACTGGGAGACCTGCTGCTAGGAGACTTAATATTCTGGAAGCAAAAAAAGAGAACAATTCACTGCAGTTCCACTTACAGATAAAATCTCCACACAGAGATGTAACTCATCAAGGGCAGACAGGAAAAAAGAAAAAGAAAAGTAATAGTAAGATCACTTATGGAACTTCCAAAATATCACAGAAGCTTTACTTTAAAGAAATATAGAATGTTTAAAGAGATTATCTTAAAGATCCCAACTAATTAAACCACTTTAACCTATAAAATATTAATTTAAAAACAAGCCAGAAGAGAGGAACATTCAAGCTCTGGCTTGTGCATTGTAAGGACATGAATAATATTGGGTATGGGCAAACATAACATTTATATTACTTTTAAGTGGCTTAAAGGTGTAGGAGTTCCAATTATGCTAAGCCATAGTTAAAATAAGATGCCAAAAAATTGCTTGGGAAGAAAGTTTCTTACTGACCATTGAGACTGCTTGCAGACATTAAAAAAAAGAAAACACACTTTGCCAGAAGAAGTGCATGACTTCAACCTGGCTCTACAGCATCTGTAAAGATTGAGCGCTTCAATGGGGCTTTTTGGCATTTTCAGCTAAAGCTGATTTCAATCAGCTATTAGAAAAAAAGTGCAAAAGAACTCCACTAAAGCACCTGATTTTTACAGATATCAGGTGAGCTGGGTTGAAATAATGCACTCACTCTCATGGTCATGCATGGGGCTCAGTGTGACAACGTATAATGAACTGCTGTTTTTGTTGGGGGGTTAAGCCTGTAAACACTCTGACCTGATAAGAAAGACAAGCACATGAATGAGCAAAAACTCTGATTCAAAGAAGGAAGTAGAAAAAAAACCAAACAACCAGTAACACCTGTAGCTGCAGGTATGCAAACTTGCTAAAGCAAATACTAAATGACTGCATAATACCAACTGTGCAGTGGGGCACACATGTAGACACAACCAGCATCTACTTGTGCAACCTTATTAGACCACAGGAAACCAATAAACTCTGCAGGAGGGTAGTACTTATAAATACAAGTACTTTCGTGCTGCAGTTTTTTTTACTCCACATCGCTGCATGTGTAAATGCTAACGTGGCTACCTGGGGCATGAGGGTGCTTCAGTGCAGGGGCTATCTGATGGCTAGTCCCACACTGGAGCACACTTGTGCCCCAGCTAGACCCTCTTGGGCCTTCTTCCAGTCAAGACTGCTCTGACCCAGATCAACATGTTGTGGTCCCAGGTGCGCAGGTAAACACAACACCTGGGAGCAATATGCACTAGTTAATTGTATTGCATTAATATGCACATGAAGATGCACCCACTTAGTAGTTAGAAGAGGCTACGTAAGCTGTATAGCACTGGAAGTTGAAGATTTTATTGGCAAGACAGCAGGCCTTGAAACATAGCATGCTGCAACAAGTATAGTAACAAAATAAAATTTTGTAAATGATAGTTGAAATTCTGCAACAAAGAAAAGTACCACTCTCTTGTAACAGGTTTTAATGGTCAGCACAACCAGCAAATACTTACATATTACTGGTGGTGTGGGGACAGAAATAGAAAAAGTGGCTATAACAAAATTCAAAGAAGGAGCCTGACTGTGATGACTGCTGGAATGAAGAACCAGACTCAAATCAGCTGCCACCCTTTAATCCCTGAACAGAAGCCACAGCACTACAACCATGCCTGTACGAGAACCAGGTATCAAAAAAGCCCACTCCAAAACCTCAAACAATTCCTGTAGAAGTAAGAGAAAAAAAATAAAAGGAGCAAGAAAGGAGAAAAACAGACTGTTACAAGAAAGCAACGCACAGTCATTGAAACTTATGGAACAGCTTGAATGGATGAGACTACAAACTAGTTACCATCTGACATTCAGCTGACTAGGCAACAAAGGAGAGATGGGGAAGTAAAGATAAGCATAGTGCAGGGGTGCTCAGCCTCTCAGACTGTGGCCCAGATCTGAACCAGACGTGTTGGACGTGTTCAAATCAGCAGGTCCAGATGCTCTCCACCCCAGGGTGTTGAGGGAATTGGCAGGGGTTATTGCGGGGCCCCTGGAACAGCTTTACAAGCACTCGTGGTGCTCTGGCCAGGTGCCAGATGACTGGAAGAAAGCCAACGTGATCCTCATCTTCAAAAAAGGGAAGAGGGAGGACCCAGGCAACTATAAGCCCATTAGTCTTACTTCAATCCTGGGGAAACTCTTTGAGAAGATCATCAAGGAACACATCTGTGATGGACTAGCAGCAGAGATGATGCTCAAGGACAACCAGCACAGTTTCATTAGCGGCAGGTCCTGTCAGACCAACCTGATTGCCTTCCACGATCAGGTCACAAAAGCATTGGATGCAGGTGTCGCGGTGCATGTAGTCTTTCTGGACTTCAGCAAGGCCTTTGACACTGTCTCCCACCCCATTCTCATCAAAAAACTAAGTGACTGTGGCATTGATGCCTACACAGTCAGATGGATTGCAAACTGGCTGAAGGGTCGTACTTAGAGGGTAGTGGTGGACGGGTCTTTTTCAACCGGGAAGGAAGTGGGCAGTGGAGTCCCCCAGGGCTCAGTCCTTGGGCCTGCACTGTTCAATTTCTTTATTAGTGACTTGGATGATGGGGTAATAAGCAGCCTGTTTAAATTTGCTGATGATACCAAGATTTGGGGTGAGGTGGGCACACTAGTAGGGAAGGACAGATTACAGTAGGACATGGAAAGGTTACAGGGGTGGGCTAACAAAAATAGGATGGGTTTGAATACTGACAAGTGCAGGGTGCTGCACTTGGGCAGTGGGAACCAGCAGCACCCTTATAAGCTCGGAAACTCCCTTCTCAGGAGCACAGTGACAGAAAGAGATCTTGGAATCGTTAATGACTCCAAGATGAACATGGGCCAAGAATGCGAGGTCACGATCAGTAGGGCTAACCGTACCTTGTCGTGCATCCACAGATGCATCTCAAGCAGGGCCAAGGAGGTGATCCTCCCCCTCTAGGCGACACTGGTCAGGCCGCAGCTGGAGTACTGTGTTCAGTTCTGGGCGCCGCAGTTCAGGAGGGATATGGACAGCATTGAGAGGGTCCAGAGAAGGGCTACCTGCATGATCTGGGGACAGCAGGGCAGACACTACAGAGGCTATGGGACCTGAACCTGTTCAGCCTTCACAAGAGAAGGCTGGTGGCCGTCTACAAACTCACTAGCAGGGACCAGCAGCGTTTGGGAGAGATCTTGTTCCCCCTAGCGCCCCCTGGGGTAACAAGGAATAACGGCCACAAATTGTTAGAGAGTAGGTTTAGACTGAACATGCAAAGGCACTACTTTACAGTCAGGGTGGCTAGGATCTGGAAACAACTTCCAAGGGAAGTGGTGATGGCTCCTACCCTGGGGGTCTTTAAGAGGAGGCTTGATGTCTAACTGGCTGGAGTCATTTGAGCCTGGTTTTTCTCTCCTGCCCAGGGCGGGGGGTTGGACTTGGTGATCTACAAGGTCCCTTCCGACCCCACTTCTATGAATCTATGACCCACTATGCCATGTCATCCAGCCTACAGGACTCCCCCCAAGTCCAGAAATTTGACAGCGGGGAAACGGTGGCACTGCTCCCCTGCTGCTTAATCTCTGGACCACAGGTCACCCCAGGCCCTGTGGGCATCTATACATGTGCTCCATGGTAGAGGGAGGGTGCTTTAATTAGAGCAGCTCTGAGAGCGACTCTAATTAAAGTGCCCTCAGCATCACATGAATTCAGTAGAACATGTACATAGCTACACCTAGATCATGCCCGACCACTGGCTGCCCAACTTCTTCTTGAATACCTCTAGTGATGGAGAGTCCATAACTTCCCTAGTTGGTCTATTCCACTGCCTCACTAATCTAATCATGAAGTTTTTTTTCCTGGATATCCAATCTAAACCTACTTTGCTGCAACTCGAAACCATGGTCCGCATCCTCCCCTCTGCACCAAGGGAAAAAAGGTGCTTTACCTCTTCTTTAGGGCAGTCCTTCAAGTATTTGAAGACTGCTATAATGGCCTTATAGCATATTATAGTAGAGTACTGACATTCCCAGAAAGTAAACTAGGGGCTTGTGAGCAAACAGCTCTGGTAGCTTAATGGACTTTGCAGAAAGCACAGGCTATTTAGTTTGTGGTTAAAATTCATCATGCTTTGGGAAAGCTGCTCAGCCAGGAAAACTTATCAAAAGGAAATGTGAGAATGGATAAAATATGCTTAGGGTTTTTGCTCTTATGGGAAAGAACGTACAGCTAGTAAACCTGAAAGCGAGACTTAGTTGGCTGTGTTCAGGTTGAAGTCAGACAGAAAGCAGGGTAGATTTGCACCTTATAGGCTAATCAAAGTAGATATAATATATAGCATGAGGTTTTGTGAGCTGAAGCTCACTTCATGAGATGAAGTGCATCATTTACTTTTCTTAGTGGATAACCGTAAATTTCATAAGCACAGATGAGCTGGAACCTGCAGCCTGTGAAAAGAACTGGTCTGATTGGCATTACAGAAACCTGGTGGAACAGTTCCTAGGACTGGAATGTCAACACTGAGGGTTACAATTTGTTTCAGAAGGACAGGATTGGGAGAAAAGCTGGTGGTGTCACCTTGTGTGTCAAAAACACACACACTTGTTCCCTGGTTCAGGAGGAAGAAGACAGCATTTGGGTGAAGATGAAATGTGAAAGATGCAGCACTAATATAATGGTAGGGATTTATTATAGGTCACCTAATCAGGAAGAGGAGGTGGATGAAGCACTCTTTAAGCAGGTGACAAATCTACCTAAAAGCTATGGGATGGTACTGAAGGGAGACTTCAATTTCCTGGACATCTGATGGGAGAACAATGCAGCCAAATGTAAAATGTCAAGCCAGTTCCTAATTTGTTTGAAGGACAACTTTCTGTTCCTGAAAGTGGAGGACACAACTAGGGGATCATCTATCTTGGATCTTATCCTGGCCAAAAAGAAAGAATTGGTGGAGGATGTGAAGGTGATGGACAGCTTGGGAGAAAGTGATCATAATATGACAGAATTCCAGATCCTGAGACAAAGAAAGCATGAGGTCAGCAAAATAAGGATGCTAGATTTCAAAAGGGTGGATTTCATCCAACTCAAGGAATTAACAGGCATGGTGTCATGGGAGAACAATTTGAACGATAAAAGTGCCAGGAGGGCTGGGAGCTTCTAAGGGGCACAGGGTTGGAAGCCCAACAAGAAACATGACGGAAGCACAAGAATGGCAAGAGACCAATGTGGCTGCACAAGGAGCTTCTAAAGTGCCTCAAATGCAAAAGGAAAGCATACAGGCAATGGTCACCAAGGAAGCATACCAGGAAATAGTCAGAACCTGCAGGGACAAAATTAGGAAGGCAAAAATAAAGAGACTGCACCTGGCAAAGGAGATTAAGGACAAGAAGGGGGTTCTATAAGTATGTTGGGCAGAAAAGAAGGACCAAGCCAGGGAGAACTCAACCAAATATGCAAAGAACAGGGAGCTACTCAACAGCTACTTTACTTCAGTCTTTACAAAGAAATTAAGCTACAGCTGGACACTAATAAAGATTATCTGGATAAGGAAGGGGAAAGCTGAAGGATGAAATAACAAAGAGATGGTCAGAAAGCTTTTGTTGGGCCTGAATGGATTCAAGTCAGAAGGGTTAGATGAACTTCATCCCAGGGTCCTGAAGCAACTGGCAGAGATCTCAGAGCCCTTGGCCATGAATTTCATGAAGTTGTGGGAGATGGATGAGGTACCAGGGGACTGGAAAAGGAACAAAGTAGTGCCCTCCTTAAAAAGGGAAAAAAGGAGAACTCAGGGAGCTACAGACTGATTAGCCTCACCTCAACATCTGGGAAGTTACTGGAGCACATCCTAAGGAAGGCCATTTAAGAGCATCTTGAAGACAAAAGGCTGATCACAAGCAACCAGCATGGATTTATGAAAAATAAATTGTTTCAAACTGTCATGCCAGCCCATGGGCATGATACCTTGAGATCAAGAAAAGCCCAGAAGTCAAAATCCAGGAGAACTGTCCAGGGAACCGACTTGGGGATCCAGAGGGTAAGGCAGAGCATGAGGTCAGGAAGCTAACCAGGTCAGGTGTCCAGGAAGACAGGGCAGAGCCAGTCAAGGAATCCATCTGTCAGTAGCATCATAAGCCAAGGGAGCAGCAACCTAGGTATAAGGTTGAGCCTTGTTGCCCAGACATCTCCCCTGCTGGGTCAAGGATTAATATGGGAAGGGATAGGAGGTCAGATGAATTTGACTGGCCACTGAGGTAGCAGGGAGTGAGTGTGCGCCTAGGCCCAGGGGGAGGATTCTGGCCAATTGTGCCTACACCAGTGCTCTGTTGAGGAAGACTGTTGAGGTAGACTGCTGTGAGCTGCTGTGTCAGACAGGTCAAGGCCCCAGGGTCAGGCTAAGGGCTGACATAACTCTTACCCCTCTCCCCCTGGGGGTACTGAGCCAGATTTTCCTGGGTTGTACTTATGGAACTTCTGTACCAAATCAGGGGCATGGATGTGGGTTCTATGGATTCCCATGTGCATTCTTCTGGTCCTGTACCCTTCCCAGTCTACTGGGTACTATAATTTCCTTCATCTTGAGTCCAGGATCTCTTTGACCAAGTATTCTTCCTAGCCATGCAGGTGGTGGAGGAGAATGGGATCAGTGAGTGAGTATGTTTTCTGTGTATCTTGAACAGGGACATGTGAAATACCAGTGGATTTCCAGTTTTGGGGGGAGCTGCAATTTGAAGGTGACTGGATTTGATGGGTGATATGGAAGGAGCTGACATACCTGTGATCCAGTTTCTGCGAGGGCTGGTGGGTGCAGAGGTGTTCTGTTGACAGCCAAACTCTCTGTTCTAAGGAGTAACCAGGCTCCGGGCTTTTAGTTCCTTTTGGACTTCCTGCACATATTGTACCCAGTCTTTGGCTGCAGGGTTGTCAGAGGCAATGAGTTGAGCAGGGTATAGCTGAGATGGAATCCATCAAGGGTTGCCCATTTGAGGCATGTGTGTTGTTGTTATAGGCAAAATCAGCAAGTGTTAGCAAATGTCCGGTTTTCATGTTGGACACTGAGGTAGCACTAGGGGTATTGCTGCAGGACCTGCTTTGTTCCCTCTGATTGACCATTTTTTTGTGGGTGGTATGTGGATGAGAGCTGGGCATGGACTCCCAGCGGATGCAAGACCTTGTACCAGAACTGGGAAATGAACTACGACCTGCTAACTCAGAGGATCAGAGGTTATGTGGTCTGGGAGACCACAGGGCAAACAACGTGGTTCAACCATTGTATCCTTAGTTGAGGGCAGGTCTGTGCATGGAATAAAGCAGGCCATTTTGGTTAACAGGTTTGTCACCATCAGGATTGTGGAATATCTATTAGATTTGGGCATCTCTACAATAAAGTCTAGAGAAATGGCACACCAAGGGTTAGAGCAGAACAGCAAGAGGCTGGGGAGCCCACAGTTGCTGTGTGGGTCTTTTAGTACAGACACAAAGATCATCGGAGAAGACAAAGTCTCGGACTGTCTCATGCAGCATATCCACAAGAAATATCAAGCAACCGGTTGACAGGTCTTTTCTGTTCCTGGAGGGCCTATTAACAGTGAATTGTGGCTTACACAGAGTACGGTCAGTCTGGCCAAATCCAGAGGCACATAGATCCTCTCTTAAGCAAATATGAACCCCTCCTGTACATGATAGAGCTGTCAGAAGAGTGGCCTACCCCTCAGGGGGAATTTCTTCTTGGGTGGCAGCTTGAAGCAGGGTCAGCAAGTCTATGGGCCACATGGCATTGATTACATTGTGCTGCTTTAGAATAGGGACGTGTTCCTCTGGCACCTGCATTAGGTCAGCATCAAATTCCATCTTCCAGAATAGTGTATCTGCCTTTCTGTTTCTGGACTCAAGTTGGTATGTGATTTGGAAATCAAAACAGGAGAAAAAAAGTGCCCAGCACAGCTGTCTCTGACTGAAAGCTTTTTACCTTATGGAACTATTTTAAGTTCATGTGGTCTATGATGACCTGTATTTTGTTTCATGCTCTTTGAAGGTAGTGCCGCCATTCTCCAATGGCCACACAAACGGCCAGGAGTTCCCAATCCAGGATCTCATAATTGTGTTCACTTGGTTAAGTTTTCTGGAGAAGAAACTGCAGGGCTGTAGGGTCTGTTCTGGGCCCTACCATTGGGAAAGTTCTGCGCCTATGATGGTGATAGATGCACCCGTCTTTACCACAAATGGTAGGGCAGGGTCTGGATGGGCAAGCACAGGGGCAGAGATGAAGGCCTGTTTCAGGTGTCTGAATGCTTGCTGGGTGTTCTTGAACCAACAGAACTGAACATTCTTTTGCAATAGCATAGTGAGGGGACTTAATACCTGGGCAAAGTTTGTAATGAGCCTGCAGTAAAAGTTTGGAAACCCTAGGAATCTTTGGAGTTCTTTGACATTCTTGTGGGGGGGGAGGGAGTGCTTTCCACTCATGAACAGCCTGAACTGTCCTTGGATCCATTTTCAGGCCTTCAGGAGATGGAACAAATCTGAGGAACTCAAATCATTGTTTGGTTGAACACACACTTTTCTAATTTTGCAAACCGGCCATGTTGATTTTTCCAGTACTGTTCTGACATGCATCACATGTTGGCTAGGTTCTTTTGAAATGATCAGTATGTAGTCCAGGCAGGCGATTACAAATTGGTCCAGTAGTGCATCATTGATAAAAGTGTTGAAAAGTAGCCAGAACACTGATGAGTCTGAAGGGCATGACCAGGTATTCAAAATGCCCATACCACATCCTAAAAGCAGTTTTCCACTAAGATTTGCACAAGCTTGTAGGCTCCCTGAAAATCAAGTTTGGTGAAAATATGAGTTGCTTTTTGCTGATCATGAAGCTCTGGGATGAGGAGCAAAGGCTTCTGGTGTAGCAGGAAGCTTGGAGTCCCTGCCACCTTACAGACAGACAGGATGTGGCTGAGGCAGGCTGCAGGTGTGGCAGGAGCTGATGGACGAGTTGTCTGAACCAGGAGGCGGGCTGGGACTTACATTGGGTATAAGCCCAGGCTCTGAGTTGATCCAACAGTGAGATCCTGAGGGCTGCTGTGGGAACATCTCCTAAATAGGATGGTTGGAGCTCCTGAGTGCCAGCACAGGGAGAACAGCCTGCAGCAGTCTGGATTTTTGGGAGGGAACTAAAGGGGTGGAGGAGGTTCCTGGGAGGAACCAGTGAGGGGTCTGGGCATCAGAAGCACTGCCAGAGCTGGATAGCCTGGAGGTAGCCCAGGATAGGCAAGGACTGTCAGAGCTGGATAGCATGGTGGTAGCCCAGAAGCGGCGAGGATGACCAGAAAAGGGTAGCTTAGAGGTTTGTCTTGGGTAAGACCAAAAACTGCACCCTACTAGGGCTTGAGATCACAGTGGTGGAACTGTTTGTGGGAGGGCAGCCCCCAGAATAAGGGCAGGCAATTATTTCAGGTGGAGGGCCACTTAACGAGTTTTGGTGAGCTGTTGAGAGCCGCATGGGTAGTCCTGCCCCTTGACAGTTACCCTGCCCCCTTGTTGCCTTCTTGGGACTGGAAATCCCAAGCCTAACCTTAACCCCTAACCTTTGCCACCAGAAGTCCTTCCTCAGCTCCACTGCTTGGGCCTGTAGGGGGGCTGTTAGGAAAGCTAAGGTGGACATAGAGCTAGGACTAGCGTCCAAGATCAAAGATAATAAAAAGTCCTTTTTCAAATATATAGGGAGGATGAAGCAGGCACCAGGAAACATGGGGCCCCTGCAAGATACGCTGGGCAATCTGGTGGTTGCGCAAGAGGAGAAGGCAGACCTCTTTAACAAATTCTTCACCTCCGTTTTCTTGTGCAGGGACCAGGACTCCCCCACCATGATTCAAGACAGACTCGAGGGGAACGCCTCCAGACTTAAGGTTGAGGAAGACCCGATTAGAATGCTTCTGGACGGGCTGGACGTGTTCAAATCAGCAGGTCCAGATGCTCTCCACCCCAGGGTGTTGAGGGAGCTAGCAGGGGTTATTGCAGGGCCCTTGGCACGGCTTTACGAGTACTCGTGGTGCTCGGGCCAGGTGTCAGATGATTGGAAGATAGCCAATATGGTCCCCATCTTTAAAAACGGGAGGAGGGAGAACCCGGGCAAATATAGACCAATCAGTCTTACCTCAATACTGGGGAAACTCTTTGAGAAGATCATCAAGGAGCACATCTGTGATAGACCAGCATCAGGGATGATGCTCAAGGGCAACCAGCACGGTTTCATTAAGGGCAGGTAATGTCAGACCAACTTGATTGCCTTTTATGATCAGGTCACAAAAGCATTGGATGCAGGTGTCGCCGTGGATGTAGTCTTTCTGGACTTCAGCAAGGCCTTTGACACTGTCGACCACCCCATCCTCATTAAAAAACTAGG